TAATGAAATTCTAGATGGTTCATCCTAATGATAGACATAAATGATTTAAAATAAATAAAAACTTTTCTTTTAAAATTATTTGTAACCTTCTACATTATAATGAAGGAAAAATACAACATTTTTCTTTTATACACAAATATAAATTAAAGTTTAATAACTTTTTGATGTGATATTTAAAAAAAATTTAAAAATATGTCTTTCTTTCTATTTTTATTTAAACCAAAGGAAATAAAATCTAATGAAATGCCTTAACAAGCATAAAGAAGTTTTTTTGTTGTTGTTATTTTTGTGTCATTCTTATAAATACTGTTAGGCAATTTACTGGCAAGAGCTCCACTTATTATTGTTTCAATTTCTAAGACCTATTTTCCTTTAGCATTCTAAACAGTTTTAGTTTCTTTACTTGGAGGCTTTTGTAGCTAACCATAGATACTACTAAACATTTACATATAGATTTATACACACATAGATTTTAAGGATTCTTAAGATTTTTCGTATACCCAACAACAATTGCAAAAAAATGTTTCTAGAACAATGCAAGAATAAAAAAAATTTGTATTGTGAGTGCGTGCCAGAGGCAATAACTTTGATTAACGATTAAATTGGTTTTGAGAAAGAAAGAAGAAAATGTTTTCATAGAATAGCAGCATAATTAAAGTGGATATATTCAACAGGATAAGAATAGCAGAAAATTTTAGTACTGAAGCAATTTTAAGATTAAACAAGTAAGAAAGTATAGTCGGGCGTGACCGACCATATGATACCCTACACCAGTTATGAATATTAAATGTGATTTATTTTTCATAATAAAGCATTTATCTTCAATATTCCCCTGTTCCGATACATTTAAGCTATTTATGGATGAAAAACTAATTTTCTGAAAGAGGCTTTATATGGGGGCTAGGGGCAAATATGGACCAAGCCCGATAAAATTTTGTGAATATATTTATATTTACATAATATTTTATTGTGCTGAATTTCATCGCGATATTTGTGTTTATAAGTTAATTTGGGACATTCAAGTAATTTTCTGAAGGGGACCTTGTATGGGTGCTAGGGTCAAATGGGGCCCGATCTTTATGAAATTTGGCAGGGTCATCAAGACTTCTATAAAACTTAGTTGTGCCGTATTTTATCGATATATCTGTATATTTAACATAATTATGAGCTCAGAAGCCCTTTTCGGGGGGTTCTGTTCTATGGGGGCTAGGTGAAATAATGGACCGATTTTAACCATTTTCAATAGGCTTCGTCCTTGGGTCAAAACGAGCATGCCAAATTTCATCCAATTATCTTGAAAATTGCGACCTGTACCTTGCGCACAAGGTTTACATGGACAGCCAGCCAGCCAGCCAGCCAGACGGACGGACATAGCTTAATCGACTCAGAAAACTATTCTAAGCCGATTGTTATACTTTAAGGTGGGTCTAGGACGAATATTTTTGTATGTTACAAACATCAGCACAAATCCAATATACCCTCCCCACTAAAGTGGTGTAGGGTATAAAAATACATAATTATGCTCAGTATAGAGAAGTTGTATAGATGCAGATGCTTAGATATGTTTAAAGCAATAACTTTAATATTGTCGTAATAAATGCAACAATATTATGGACAAAATTTTGTTAAGACTCTTTAAATTGTATATGAAATACAATTTTAAGAATTATATGCTGATCCCAGAAGCATTCTGTCATTATACATACATATTTCTTTCTAAAGAAGAAAAGTTATTTAACAGAAGACTTAATATGTTTTTCTCAAACAGTTATTTACTGCACAATAAAGTCTCCTTTATTGTTAATATATGGGGAATTTCGTGTCAAGTGACCCAATTTTAAAAATCGATGTCTTCCGATTTGCATGAAATTATTAAAAAAAAAAAATTAAAAAAAAAAAATTTTAAAAATTAAAAAAAAAAATTAAAAATTTTTTTTTCTGGAAAGAATGATGAAATAGTTATCTGAACTCCTTTGGACGATTTTTGCTAGGACCAATAGGTGAAAAGTTACACTCATTTGACTTAAGACCCTGTCCATCTTTAAACCCTTCTAAGTCCGGCAGTTCTTGAACGATAGAGCTGAAAATTTGTGTCTGACTATCCAATAGTACTTAGTGCAAATTTCATCAAAATCGATTTTTTGAGTTGGATCACTTGACATGAAATTCCCCATATGTATTATTATGACTTTGTTTACATTTCCTGAAACCTGTTTTCTTTAAAAACTTAGTATCAAGTATATTAAGTACATTATATTTAAAATAAGTATTTTTAACTAAAGTTAAATTAAAGGAAGTACATACATAAATGTTTTCCCAAAAAAAAAAACTTTGTATCGACAAAGTATACATGTAAAATAATTACCCAAGATCAACAAAGGATTAAATGAAAATACTTTCTATCCATGAAAAACTTTAACATTGCAACACTTTTGTTTTAATTTTAAACAATAATATGAACATAAACAAAAACAAGATAAATGGCTACAGAAATATAAAGAAAACATGTTATTTTATACAGTAGATCTACAATAGGGGTATAACCAAATTTTGAACCTACCATTACACAATAGCCAGCTTCGGGGATCATATAAAGGGTTTGAAATATTAAAAAATATATATTTTTTAGTTAACATAACAGAATCGGCGTAATCGAAACTCTTTTGACAAGTGAAATATGTTACGGTATAATTTAAGAAAATTGGTTCTAAAGTTGTATTTTACAAAAAAAAATATATATTTTTAAATGGACATCCGTATTAACAATTTTGAAACTTTCTTTCAAATAAAATATCTTTCTGAAAATTTCTGTGACCCTGTGACGATGTTTAAACTATTTAATTTATTTCATATATATATTAAACTAGCTTTACCAGTGTGCTTCGCTACACTAAAATCCATATTTCCATCTAAAAAGTTTTTTAACTTTATATATTCACACATTTACGATTTTTAATATTTATTTTATATGGGAGGAGCCACGCCCACTATTTCTAGTCGACTAATTCTTAAAGCAAATGTCCATATTGATACAACAGTTGAGATCTCCTACCTGTTGTACTTCACATGGATGTCAAAGTTACGAACTTAGTTCCCTATTGCTAGTTCGCCCATTTTTGTCTCATATATTTGTATTATAACTAAAGTGGCTCTCACAAAATTTGAGGTCTCTAACTTATACATTTCGTAAGAAATATTAATTCAATATTTTCTGTATATAAAAATGCCATGCCCACTATACTCAGTCCAAACATTTTGCCCACAATTGTTCATATGCAGTCCTCAAATTTTTTGTTCCATACAAAATTTGAGGACTCTAGCTGTAGCAGTTTCTAAAATAAACCGCTTTTAATACTTACTAAGTATGACCCATTGTAACTCAGAGAAATCTTGATCGATCTTGTTGACGAATTATATAAATAAACGTCTACCCAATAGAACATTGGTTTCAAAAGTTGGGTCACTTGAAATGAGATTCTCCATATACATATATAAATGAAAAACAAGTTAGAGTGCTATATTCGGCTATGCGGAATCTTAAATACGTTTAAGTGATTTTTTGAAGTGGACCTTATACGGGAGCTATTACCAAATATGAATCGCTCCGGAAAAAAATTGGTAGAATGATTTATATGCACAAAAAACATATTCAAGTCATACTTTATGCCGATCGCTTTATTATTCAAAGAAATATATGCGTTTAAGTGATTTTCAGAAGTGGAACTTATATCGGAGCTATGAGCAATTACGGGCCTATCTGGAAAAAATTCCGTCCAGTGATTCATATATAAACCAAACATATTTCTGTCTAATCTTATCAAGATAGCTTTATTTTACAATGAAATATGTGCGTGTAAGTGGTTTTCGGAAGTAGACCTTATATGGTAGCTCTGACCAATAATGGACCGATCAGGGAAAAAATGGCAGAATTATTTATATGTACACAAAACATATTCATGTTGAATTTTATCCTTATAGCTTTAGAATTCAATAAAATATATGCGTTTAAGCGATTTTCGAAAGTGGACCTTATATGGGATCTATGACCAATTATGGGCCTTTCCCGAAAAACTTTCGTAGAGTGATTCATATTTATACTAAACATATTTGTGTCAAATTTTTGAAAATTAAATATGTGTGTTTAAGTGATTTTAGTAAGCGGGCCTTATATGGGAACTATGACCGATAATGAACCGGTCCGTAAAAAATTTTGGTTGAATATGCTTTATATTTTAGTAAATTTGGTTGATTTACTTTTCTTAGTTTTAACGTGAGCACAGACAGGCAGAAAAACAGACGGACAGACGGACATAGCTGAATTGACTTAGAATTTCACAGGGACCCAGAATACATATATTTTGTTGGGTCTAAGATGAATATTTCCTGGCTGTACACATGGAATGACAAACTTATATATACCCTCTATCACCACTGATGTTGGTGGAGCGTACAATTAATAACAAATACATATATGGTAATAGTTGAGTTTTAACATGTATTGTTGTTATACACAACTATAAGGCTATTTCAAATTAAACTATAATTATTCATTTTACAAACTTGGCCCAAAAATTTTAAGAAATTTTTTCTTCATTTAAATTCTATGAAAATTTAAAGGATACTTTTGAAGGCTATTTCCTATTCATATTTAAATTAAGATTTCTTGTTCATTTCTTTATTTTAAAATTCATAAATTTTTTAAAACTTAACTTTTCTGGCTTAAAAGAAGAAAAGGAGAAAGTCAAAACAACTAAGCCCTGTACAAAACTTATCGTTATAAAACAAGAAACTTTTTTCTTTTTTCCGCTAGTTAAACTGGTAGATGAGGTGTATGATTTTTTGTTGTTCATTTTTCTCTTTTTTTGCTGCAATTTTTTCCTGCTCTTGCGGTTACAGAATGTTTTGTTAAAATTGCAAGTGTTTTTTAAAAATTCATATATGATTTTTTCTCTTGTATTTGTATTTTGTTATTGTGTGTTTGGAGTGGCGTTTTTATTTACCTGTTTACGGAATAAAATGGCACGATACATAGGTGCTCCTTGGTTGCCAGAATCTTGTGAAACCACGGATAAGAAATATGGACTTTTTTCACCATCAATGCCAACATAGTTTTGATGCACTGTAACGAAGCAGAAAAAAATACACATGTGAAAACAAACATTTATTATGACTGGTGGTAAAGAAAAGAAAAATAAAGGAATTTTATAAATTTATAATAAAATAGGAAAAAAATCTAGATGAAAGAAATGAAAAATGTAATTTAAATTTTTTCTATATTTTCATTTGAAATACTGGTAACAGACATTTGTGTGCCTTAAATTTAAGATAATAAAGGTTGCATGATAAATTTAACTTTAATATTTGAATCAATTAGAAAAAACTTTTTCTTAATAGTTTTTTGGTTTGAATTTCATATTATTTAACTGATTTCTCAGATACATTTTTAGCCTTACTGAACTTATTATTGAACAAAACTACATTTTAATTTTTTTCCTGTTTTTTCATCGGACACACAACTGTTTTAAACTTTTGTATTAAAAAATTCTTTTATTGAAAAAAAAAAAAAAAAATCTACTCACAAGATTAAAAAACATTTCTAAATAAAATCCTATAGAATAATTTGAATAAAAATCTACTTAAAGTAAAATGGTTATTCAACAAACTCATTTAACCTAAATCCAATAACAAGTTTTAAATTTAAAATGTTCTCAGACTCTCTGGTATGCCTTAAAGTCATTAATTTCTATTTGATTGTTGAAAGAATTGAAAATAAAAAAAAATATATAAATAAAAAATGTGATAAAATATATATAAAGATGTGAACATTCATTTTTTTCCCTAAAATTACTTACATTTTCCCAAAAAATACTTAAAATACCAACGTGTTTGATGTTCGGGATTTTCCAATATGGGGGCACTAGGTGAACCAAATACCTGTGTAACGAGAAACACAATAAAAGATGAATAAATGTGTAGGATTCTAAGAAAATACTATATGATATAAAAAAACAATAAATCAAATAAATAAAAACGACATGTATTCAACATGTATCAAAATATATAACACAAACATTCATACATATTCTCCCATATACGTATCTATGTAGGTATATAGAAAAACACATTCACAGCTTGAGGTATTTTTTAAGCTTTTATTTACTGTCAGTTTGTAATCAATCAAATGTCAATATATTTTAAGGCACACATTTACTATAACATTTATTTTAAGTCCTTTGTAGTCCCTTTTTGTTGGTACCATACATTCATATGTAATTTTTGTAGAACAGTTGATTTTCCATAAAAATATAATAAAATACATATAGTCAAGCAATTCCGAAATATGATACACTTTACCATGTTTTTAGTTTTCATTAGAGGACCTAGTTTCAATGGTCTATTTTAGTTTTAGTTTAGCTCTAGTTCAGATCTAGATCAGAAAATGTTTTCATTAGAGGACCTGGTTTCAATGGTCTATTTATACCCTACACCACTTTAGTGGGGAGGGTATATTGGATTTGTGCTGATGTTTGTAACATACAAAAATATTCGTCCTAGACCCACCTTAAAGTATACCAATTGGCTTAGAATCGTTTTCTGAGTCGATTAAGCTATGTCCGTCCGTCCGTCCGGCTGGCTGGCTGTCCATGTAAACCTTGTGCGCAAGGTACAGGTCGCAATTTTCAAGATAATTGGATGAAATTTGGCACGCACGTTTTATTTCACCCAAGGACGAAGCCTATTGAAAATGGTTAAAATCGGTCCATTATTTCACCTAGCCCCCATAGAACAAAACCCCCCGAAAAGGGCTTCTGAGCTCATAATTATGTTAAATATACAGATATATCGATAAAATACGGCACAACTAAGTTTTATAGAAGTCTTGATGACCCTGCCAAATTTCATAAAGATCGGGCCCCATTTGACCCTAGCTCCCATACAAAGTCCCCTTCAGAAAATTACTTGAATGTCTCAAATTAACTTATAAACACAAATATCGCGATAAAATTCAGCAAAATAAAATATCATGTAAATATAAATATATTCACAAAATTTGATCGGGCTTGGTCCATATTTGCCCCTAGCCCCCATATAAAGCCTCTTTCAGAAAATTAGTTTTTCATTCATAAATTGCTTAAATGTATCGGAACAAGGGAATATTGAACATTTAATATTCATAACTGGTGTAGGGTATCATATGGTCGGCCACGCCCGACTATACTTTCTTACTTGTTAGTTTTAGTTCAGCTCTAGTTCAGATCTAGATCAGAAATGTTCATTTCTAGTTCTAGTTCAGTTCTAGTTCAGTTCTAGTTCAGTTCTAGTTCAGTTCTAGTTCAGTTCTAGTTCAGTTCTAGTTCAGTTCTAGTTCAGTTCTAGTTCAGTTCTAGTTCAGTTCTAGTTCAGTTCTAGTTCAGTTCTAGTTCAGTTCTAGTTCAGTTCTAGTTCAGTTCTAGTTTCAGTTCTAGTTCAGTTATAGTTCAGTTCTAGTTCAGTTCTAGTTCAGTTCTAGTTCAGTTCTAGTTCAGTTCTAGTTCAGTCTAGTTCAGTTCTAGTTCAGTTCTAGTTCAGTTCTCGTTCAGTTCTAGTTCAGTTCTAGGTCAGTTCTAGTTCAGTTCTAGTTAAGTTCTAGTCGTTCTAGTTCAGTTTCTAGTTCAGTTCTAGTTCAGTTCTAGTTCAGTTCTAGTTCAGTTCTAGTTCAGTTCTAGTTCAGTTCTAGGTTCAGTTCTAGTTCAGTTCTAGTTCAGTTCTAGTTCAGTTCTAGTTCAGTTCTAGTTCAGTTCTAGTTCCAGTTATTAGTTAGTTCTAGTTTCAGTTCTAGTCGTTCAGTTCAGTTCTGTTCAGTCTATAGTCAGTTCTAGTTCAGTCAGTCAGTCTAGTTCAGTTCAGTTTTAGTTCTAGTTCATTCTAGTTCAGTTCTAGTTCAGTCTCTTCAGTCTAGTTCAGTTCTAGTTAGTTCTAGTTCAGTTCTAGTTCTAGTTCAGTTCTGTTCAGTTCTAGTTTCAGTTCTAGTTCAGTTCTATTCCAGTTCTATTTCAGTTCTAGTTCAGGGTACAAATGATTCGGTTTAACCCATTATATTATCATTAAATTATGGCATAAATGTTTTGCGTGTGTGTATTTTGTTTAAAGAGGCGTTTTTCTTTAAGTTTCTAAAATTGTTTTCTAAAGTATTTCGATTTCTTTTATGTGTTTTCTTTTGCAAATTGGTCTTGTAAATGTTAAATAAACATAGGAGCAATTTTTTTTCCTGGTATCTTATTTAAGAATGACATTTGGTAATGACATGTAATATATTTTCAAGTATTTAAATTAATTTTAAAGAATATTGTGGGTTACTTATTGATGTATATGTTAAATAAAACAAATCTCTGTGACAGTTTAATTACATAGAATTTGTTTAAAAATACCACACAAAAAATCATTGTAAATTAAATATAGAAAACAAAACAAAGCCTAGAGAAGATAATAATAATTTATTGAAAATTTTTAATGGCTATAAGAAATTTAAATCCAAGCCTTTTTAGCAGTTTTAAATTGATTAGAAATACATTAAGTATTGAAAAAAAGTGTTTATTTTTTGCTGATAACATTAAGGCCTGTCTGAGCAATAAATTAAAATAAATATGTACAATTTGAATTGTATTCTATTTATTTACTTGTAAACGAGTACAAATAATAATAATAAAAAAATCATTTATTTTCTTTTATACTGTCATTTACCATTTTTACCTTAAAACTTAATTCACACACTTTGAACAACAATCATAACAAAGACTCAAAAAGGTTTGTTTATTTGGGATAAGTAAGAAAATTCTATCAAAATTCAAATTAACAATAATAATTCTATTAAATAAAAGTAAAGTAATTTCTGCGAAACACTCTTTAAAGCCCCAGCATAATATATCATTCTGTTACAAAAACGGAAGATATGGAAGCAAAAGTAGCAATCTCCACTAATGCATGAAAAAGTGGAGATGACTCACTTTTCATCTAAACCACTCACATAAAAAATATTTTTACTTTCTTCAACATCTTTTAATATTAAACGACAATATTTTGTGTTGGTTGAGGAAAAGAACAAATAATAAAATAAAAATATTTAAATTTACATCAACAATGTCTTGTCAACGATTTGACTATTAGGGGGCTGCAAAGTGAATAAAATATTATGTTGTAAATAACTTTTTGTTCATCATTAATATAAATAAATAATTTAAAAGGCAATTTTTTGTCTCTTTTTGTGCGAAGTATCAACATTTCTTAATATATGTTATGTTGCTTTTGTTTGAGCACAAAAAGGAAATTGAATAAATTCCCATAAAAGATAAGAAGTGTAAATCTAAAGAATTATTTGAGGAAAAGAAATAAAATGGAGAAAAGGACCACAAAGCATTATTTATCTCATAGATGTTCAGCGACCACATTCATTTAGTTTTTGTGATTATTTCGCTTTTTATTTTTGCCTAAATATGACCATTATATAAATCAAATGATTCAGCAGAAAATTATAAGAGTTTTCTTTTTGCCATTAAAGTACTGATACTTAAATCTGTAAAAAACAAGAAAGAAAAATTAACTGACAATCGCTTATTTATCGTGGGTTGTGAAAAAGATTCAATTGCAGAGTTTTTAATGTTGTTAGAGATTAGACGGTGAACATTCATTTATACATAATTGTGGGATGAGAAATATTCTGAAAGTTACAATGTTATGTATATTTGTTGTTATGTTATTCCGATTTACCAATTAGCTTTAATTATTTCTGGAGTTTGGACTGCACTTTTCACAAGTCTATAGCCTAGACTTTCGACTAGTCAATATACTAAACTTTAAAGTATGCAGTCTAGATAGTCGATCAATGTCCACTCTACGGACTAGACATTCGCCTAATTTATTATCTAGACATTCATCTAATCTATTAACTAGACATTCGATTTGTATATAGCAGAGATGTTGGACTATAATATATAGTTACGACTAGTCTATAAACTATACATTTGACTCAGCTACAGAATAGACTGCAGCATAGAACTTCGGCTAGTCTGAATACTAAACATTAACTAGTCTATAGACTGGACTTTCGACTAGTGTATGGGCTAGAACATTGACTAGTATTTGGACTAGACCTTCGACGAGTCTATACACTAGAACTTCGACTCGTCAAGACTAGTCGACTAGTCTAGACTAGACCTTCGACTAATCTATAAACTACACCATCGACTAGTCTATAGACTAGACCATCGACTAGTCTACAGACTAATTTATAGACTATAACATCGACTAGTCTAAAGACTATACTATCGACTAGTCTATAGACTAGACCTATCGACTAGTCTATAGACTAGACCTTCGACTAATCTTTAAACTATGCCATCGACTAGCCTATGGACTAGTCCATCGAATTGTCTATAGACTAGACCATAGACTAGACTATCGACTAGTCTATAGACTAGACTATCGACTAGTCTATAGACTAGACTATCGACAAGTCTATAGATTTGACTATCGACTAGTCTATAGACTAGACTATCGACTAGTCTATAGACTAGACTATCGACTAGTCTATAGACTAGACTATCGACTAGTCTATAGACTAGACTATCGACTACTCTACAGACTAGACTATCGACTAGTCTGTAGACTATCAACTAGTCTATAGCCTAGACTATCAACTAGTCTATAGACTAGACTATCAACTAGTCTATAGACTAGACTATCGACTAGTCTATAGACTATCGACTAGTCTATAGACTATCAACTAGTCTATAGACTAGACTATCGACTAGTCTATAGACTAGACTATCGACTAGTCTATAGATTAGACCATCGACTAGTCTATGGGCTAAACTATCGACTAGTCTATAGACTATCTATAGACTAGACAGACCAGACCTTTGACTAGTCTATATACTAGAACTTCAATTAGACTAGACGTTCGACTAGGGTAAATTAGACCTTCGACTAGTTTATAGACAATACCCTTGATTTTACTATTAACTAGAACCTCGACTAGTCCGTAGACTCCACTTTAGACTAGTTAAGTAGGCGCCCGTTTAACCACTAAACTAAGTTAAAAATGGACTTTTAAAAACAACTAATCTAATTTCCTAGATTTTGTTCTTGCAGTTATAAGTCTTCCGATTATCTATTGGAATGGATATTGAAGTTTGATGGAAACATTTCTCAGAAAACAACTTGTTTTTGTTGTAATAAGTATATTTATTTTTAATTTTCTACTTTACTACGTTTTGTTTACTACATCTATCGTCTGCATCGTCTGGCAATTTATGGTCAAAAGAGAAAAATAAAAAGTTTTTTTTGATTCATTTTTTATTTACTATTTGTCGTAAATCCAAGAGTTAATAAACTTTGAAACTTTTTGCAAAATATTTTGGAACTCTTCACTTCAGAAAGATAGAATTTCTAGTTTTATCCACTATTTAATTTGTTTATAAGTCAGTCAGTAATTGTACAAAAACAATTCTGTTACCAAAAGTTTTTGAATTAAATTTTGCTATGAGTTTTACTCTTAAGAAAATAGGTGTGTAAAATAGTTCCATTTTCAGGTAATTTTCACGTAATTTTGTTGTAATTACAAGACTTGTTTCACACTTTTAATTAATTTTTTCAAAAGTAGTTAGTTGTTAAGTTAATTAATTTAATTAAAGTAAAGAAGAGAAATAGAAAAGTTAATTCAGTTTGTTATAAGATAGGGTTACAATTAGAATGGGTAATAGTAGAAATATACATTAATTATAACGGTAGCTGCTATCTTGGCCTTTTTTTTTGATATTTATTTAAATACAACTTATTAGGAAATTATATTATATGTGTTTATTTACACACGTTGTAAAATTTAGTGGACAAACATGTTTAGCTGAGTGTTCAATTTAGATGTTTTAATTTGGGGGCCAGCTAACCTTTTAATTTCCCTATACCTTCCAATAAGTATTTACTCATACCCACTTGTATTGTTAACACTCTAAAGGAACTTAGCGTGACTAATTTAGCTTACGTTTAGTAAATATTTATTTTATCTTTATTTGTTCCACCCCCACATATGTACACACACATGTAAACAAAATATTTATGTAAATGTGTATTTTGTTATTGTATTTTGGACATTTTTATTATCGATTTAGTGCGAGTATAAATTATATTAATCTATACATGTGGATATTTAATTTAATCAGCTTAAATAAATTATTATTGACCAACGTTAACATTTATGTTAATGTCACAGGTTAGTGAAGACATGCATGTGATCATTATCCTATAAGAGTTGTTAATGTGGAATCATTATATTTGGAAATGTCTAGAATTGAGCCTTAGTTTTAAGAACTAGTGTAAACTCTTGACTATCAAAAATTTTGTTATTTATATAGGATGTCATTCATATTGATCTGTAATGAAATAAAATTTCCTTTTCTTTTACTTTCAGGTTTTATTTATGTTAAAAGTGTTGTTAAGGTTTTAAATTTGATCATTCAACTTCTATGTGAAGTTTCATTGAAAAAAAAAAAAAAAAAAAAAAATAGCGTAGAGAAATATGGGTAAAAAAATGGTAAGTGAAAACTTTGTTAAAATATGTAGTTTAAATTAGATTTTTTAATAGATAGCATATTGAGCTTATTGTGATTCTAATGAAATAAATATTGCTTTTCTTTTATTTTCAGCTTTGGTGTATGTTAAAAGTGTTCTCAAGTGTTTAAATTTGATCATTTTGATCATTCAACTTCCTTGTGAAGTTTTATAGAAAAAAAAAAAAAATAGCAAAGAGAAATATTGGTGAAAAAGTGGTAAGTAAAAACTTTTCTTACAATATTGTTGAAATTAGATTTTTTGTAGATTCTTCGTTAAAATAATTAAAAACCGAGCAAGTAAGATAGCTATATTCGGCTGATCTGAATATTATATCTACTTTTACACTTCACCATAGAGTATTTTAAAATTAACACTATGATTTATGCTCATGGTATAAAACCTATATGGACTTCTTTATTTAGGCCGTTTAAATTCAGGGAAAATAATGGAAAAAATCAGTATGGCCGACCCTACGCTAGTGAGCATGTTAAAAATTTTAATTATTTTTCTAATAATAAAGCATTTTACCTTAATTCTGAAATATTTTAACAATTTGTTACCAAACAAAGTGATTTTCTGAAAAAGGGGTTATATGGAGGAAAAGGTAAATATGGTCCTATCCGTGTAAATTTTGGTAGAGCGATTTAGGATGACATTATTTCGATAATCGGCAGTATTTTTTAAACCTATGTATATAAAACTAAAATTTGCCGATTTGTTGGAATTATTACAACATTTAACATAATTATAAGCTCAAAAGCAATATTCGGGCGTACGTTTGTGTGGGTTCTAGGCTTCGTCCTTTGTTTGAAAGAAGAATACGTGCCAAATTTCATTAAATATAAATATAAAATTGCGACCTGAAGCTTGCGCACGGATAGACAGACCGACAGACAACCGACAAACGTTATGTTAATCAGCTAAGAGAGTGATTCTGAGCCGATTGGTATACTTAAAGGTCGGTATAGGACCAATATAAAAGAAGGGTTAAATTAGGATGAAAATATTTAATATAGAGAGTTTTAGTTATTTTTTATATAAACAATTTTACTGATATTCCTCACAAGAAGCTAACAAAGAATGGTTTTCTTGTCATAATAATATTGAAAATTCCAGTGAAATAATCTTAGATCTTGATCAGTAGATGTGATCACGGAAATTGGCCGTATTTTCTTTAAAACTCGTTTAAATTTTAATCAGTAATATTTTCTTCAAAAGAACTTTTTTCTTTCCTTTGAAAAAGCATTTTTAGGTCGAAAATTTAAAATTGTCTAAATTGTTAGAAAAATATATTTTTTTTTTTTTTAGAAAATTTAGAAAAAATATTAAAACTACACAGGCAGACAAAATTTTAAAAAAGTCGAAGTCCTGAGATCAACTTATATTTCACTAATGGAATGATCAGCGCTGAATCCGAATTTTGCTTCAGAATTTCTCCACCACATAGGAGATATCGTGTCCTGAAGTTTGAAAAATTGCCATTTCTGGCTTCTTTTGAGTAGCTGTAACAGCGCCAAGACAATTTAATTTATAAAATATTGTATGCCAACTGAAAGTCTATTCTGTCAACTTTAAAATAAAGGCTTAACATCTGACATCTCTTTTCTTTTTCGAGATATATTCATCTGAAACTTGAAAACGTATAGTTTTTGGTATATTCACGGAATTTATATCCTACACTACTATAATGCGGAGGGTACTATGTTTTGCAAATATGTCTGTCCGCCTGTCAACTTCAAGGGATACATCTTAGCAATAACAAAAATTTTTTAAAAAAATTTGAAAATTTTTTAGCCCCTTATTCACAATCAAAATATTTATTTTATAAACGGTTTATAAATTAGATTTTGTATGGAAATTCGGAAAGTTTTATAAACCTTTTATAAAATAGAAATGTTGTTGTATCAAGCCTTAGGTGAAGATATCTCGAAGAACAAAGGAGTTATGTCAGATATTAAGCCTTTATTTTAATGTTGATGTAATGCACTTTCAGATGACATATAACACCTTGACGCTGTTATAACGTCTCAAAATGGGCGAAATGGCGTTTTTTTTTTTTCAAATTACAGGACACGATGTCTCAAATCCTAGATGTGATTGTCGAGAAATTCTGAGGTTAGATTCAGCGCTGCTCAATCTTTTAGAAAAGTACTTTGATCTTTGGGTTAAAAATTTGTCGGCCTTGTGCTATTAAAAGAAATTAAATTTTTAACGACCATCTCCAATGTGTATAAACTACATTAAACACTTTTGTTTATATACATATTTGCATTAAAAACATTGTGATTTTTTAAAACGAAACAAAAAAAAAAATAAAGAAATCCTTTAAGTTTTATCCTGTTGTTATTCTCTTTTCAGTAACTAGAGTTTTTATATAGGTATCCCTATTTTATTTTTTTTAAATCCTCGCTGGCAGCATTTGTTTTTATGCTTTCTGCTGCTATATATTTATCTATTTTTATTTTCAACACGTAAATTGTTAAAATTTTATCATTCACTTTTCCACACTCAATAAAAATGAGAGATAGAGATGATAAAAGAACAAAAAAAAAAAAAAAAACAGAAAAAATATCCTGTTGCTTGAATAAATAATACATAATAAAGTGTTTACTCCATGAGTAACTGCCCAGCAGTTCGGAGTAGCTTCAGATTTGAAGATGGGCATTTATTCTTCAATAGATTATTAGTGGTTATAATTAAATAACTACTTTCTCAGTACATTCTATTCGTGACAATTAGGTTGTTATACATAAAGATTTATAAAAAATAATGTTAAAAAGGGATACAGTTAGTAATGTGGTAAATCTACAGGGGTTATAGTTTTAGCAGCTCGAAAGTATGCTTCATAAAAATCGCTTAGTTATCGTATTTATGTCATAAAGGTGTTTTATAGCATATTTATGTAACTAACACTTGAGGTCATGGTTTATAAAAAAAAAAATGCATTTTTCATAATAATATTTCTACGATTATAAACTAAAATTCAAAATTTATTTAACAATACATACCTCATCCTTTTCCGCCAACGATTCACCATTTTCAACACGAAAACGTTTAAAATTCGGATCAATACCATCCAATTCAGATTGTGGCAACTGTAAGTAGATATAAAAATCAACAAATTAATGGGAAAAGAAAATAAATTACTTAATTGTCATTGATTAATACTCAAATACTTTTACTTGCTTAATTAAAACAATATTTATTTATTATTATTTATATATAATAATCATAATTTTATTTAATTTTGTCTGAGCACTTTGTTTCCAACAGAGGAAGAAGGGAAAACAAAAACACCTGCACTTAATTGGAAATAAGTATAATCATATGAAAATGAAATCATTTAGCCTGAATGTGTTTGTATAAAAATATTTTTTTGTTTGTCTGTAAATTCCATTCAAAACTAATTCATTTAATATAATCTATTGCTTACATATGTTTGGGCATGTAATATGATTAAGTGTTTTTACTTTCAGTTGGGTGGGGAAGTAAGCTCATTTACAGATGTTGTGATATATGTATGTAAAGAGCTAAAAGCAATGTTAAAGTAAAGAAATAATAGCTTCCTGCTTAAATAGTAATTTGAAATTATTGTAAATTATGTAGAAGATTCAGTTGTTTTTTAGAGGGCACCTTCCCTATAATGTTTTTCATTTCCCTTTCTATTTCCACTATTAATTCCACATAAGTGTAATCTAGTATTATTTGGTATGCTAATTCCGAATATGGAAATAAACAAGTAAGAAAGTATAGTCGGGCGTGATCGACCATTTGATACCCTACACCAGTTATGAATATTAAATGTGATTTATTTTTCATAATAAAGCATTTATCTTCTATTAACTTGTTCCGATACATTTAAGCAATTTATGGATGAAAAACTAATTTTCTGAAAAAAGCTTTATAGGGGGGCTAGGGGCAAATATGGACCAAGCCAGATAAAGTTTTGTAAATATATTAATATTTTTATAATATTTATTTGTGCTGAATTTCATCGCTATATTAGTGTTTATAAGTTAATTTTGGACATTCAAGTAATTTTCGGAAGGGGACTTTGGATGGGAGCTAGGGTCAAATGAGGCCCTATCTTTACGAAATTTGGGTAGGTCATCAAGGCTTTTATAAAACTTAGTTGTGCCGTTTTTTATCGATATACATGTATATTTAACATAATTATGAGCTCAGAAGCCCTTTTCGGGGAGTTCTGTTGTATGGGGGCTAGGTGAAATTATGGACCGATTTCAACCAATTTCAATAGGCTTCGTCCTTCGTCATCTAATTATCTTGAAAATTGCGACCTGTACCTTGAGCACAAGGTTTACATGGACAGACATGGACGGACAGACGGACATAGCTTAATAGACTCAGAAAACGATTCTAAGCCGATTGGTATACTTTAAGGTGGGTATAGGACGAATATTTTTGTATGTTACAAACATCAGCACAAACCTAATATACCCTCCTCACTAAAGTGGTGTAGGGTATAAAATGTCACCCCCACCAATTTTCCACATTTTCATCTTTTAGTCCTTCTGACTGCATACTTGAGTCCCAAAGTAATTGTTCAAGCGTTGCGAATAGTGGCTGTCTCTGCCTCTACACTTATACTTAAAGCATTAATTAATGCATTTTGGAAAAATTTCGGGCAATAGAATTGCTTTAACTAGTGGTGCCACGGTTCTGAAGTGGAAAATGGTTTTTGGAAAAATTTTAAATTATTCAATTATCGTTTCAATAACATATAAAACACAAAAAATCGGTTAAAAATTGTAAAAGTTATTACAAATTCCTCCGATACCTTAGTGTCCCAGAACACTTATCTGAGAAATATTTAAAAAATTTAACAAATTTTGGGAAATATTCTTATAAAACCATGTCTTACGTTAAATACATTCCTGTTAACTTAAATGCGAGTTTTTATCCCCATGAGATAGCGTAAATCGTATTTGGGATATAGTCATAAATGGAAACACCTTCAGACGGCTGTTCCAAAAATCCAGTTTTAAACTTTTAGCAATTTTGTTAAGCAAATTTTCAAATTTTGGGAAAATCTCCCTGTGACTTATGGACAATAAAGAAGGAAATAAAATAGTAAAAAAATTTGGTCGATATCTCTTACATATTAGCGGTAATTGTGAATTGAATTTTGAAGATTTCGGAGAAAAGAATTATTTGTTGAAAATTTTTCGAAAACAATTGTTATTCTTTACTGTCAACCATTTTATATAAAACTTTTTCAGATAATACAATTTAAGATAATATGACACATATATCTGAAGTTTTAGTAAAATCTAATAATGTTAACCCATAAACTGTGAAGGTCAAACTCAAGCTATGCAATATTGGGAAATGCTCTTGAATCCATAGTGAAATATTATTTTGTTTACAACCGATTTAAATGAAACTTAGGATAAATATATAATGAAGACCCGTATTTATGATGACACCGAAAAAAAAAATCAAATTAACCCTTAAACATAAATATATTTTTATAATTATATAAAATGTTCGTAATATATGAACAAAATATTCTATCCCATTTGCGATGTGGGTGATAGAAAAAAACTGATTTCAGACTCGGTTTCAGCACATTACATTAAAAATAGTCCAAATGGTTTTAAAAGTTTTCACAAACCTTCATTTCGTTGACCTGTGTAATCAGTGATCACTATTTTCCAATGAAAATAAATTGAATAAAAAAGGTTTTCTTTTCAAGAAAAAACTAAAATCGGCAGTAGATCCTTAAATAACACTTCAACTGAGAAAATTGTGAAAAATATGTCATTCCCTATGTATACGATTAGAGTCGGTCAAATTTGTACATTTTGGTCAAAAAGGTCTTTTTTCATATGAGTGTAACTTTTCGTCTTATACAATTTCCCTTAAGCGCTTTATAGTCACCCTTAAAGGATAAGCTCAAAATTATGGAGTCTTTGAGACCCATTTTGAAATGATTGCATAATTTATTTTTTGGAACTGAAGTCCTTTTCAAAAAAAAAAAAAATATTTTTTTTTATCTCGAATGAAGTACATTAATACGCATCATTTATGAGGTATTTCAATAAAAAAGGTGGTCCACGGGACACCCTAATGTACATACATATGTATAGTATATCTGTCTAAGTTTTTCGAACAAACATTTATAGAACAAATTTAACGCTTATAAATACATTCATGTATGAAATATTTACCCGGCGGTTCAGTAAGAAGCCAAGTCTTAAATCTATGACTATATATATTTTCTGTAATGTATGCTACACTACAATCTTCGGCCTCCAGCAGGCCTTTAGTACGCTCCTTCACCAGTATCTCTAGTGGGAATCAAACCCATAATCTCCTGATTATAGACTAGAACGCTAACCTACTGGAGGCACTCTACTAGTCATATAACTAAGTTTGTATGTAACCAAGGGTCGTTACGTTGAACTGCTGGGTATTTTATGTATATACATATGTATGTATGTGTATCTCTAAGTGCGATAATAAAAGTGTCAATGTCACTAAACCCAGTGCATAGTATACAGACTGACATAAATTTACTCCTTTCCGAATACCTTCTTTTATTCATTCATTCACTCTGAGCTCATTGGCATGATAGATTACTAAGTTAAATTTGAATGAGCAGAAAATTACATGCATATGTACGTTAAAAAGAAAAAGAAAATTCGTTCTAAGCTATTTTTTATTAACGTTTTCATTGCTATAAACTTACATAATAAGTTTTCTCATATTTTTAGTATTTTTTTGCACAAATTTCAAAAATTAACATTTTGACACCTTGACACAACTATTAATTAGAAACGTAAAAGCAATTTGTTATTCTCCATTTCTAATACATAATTAACATTAAGGTTGAATTTGAGATTGTTTGCATTGTTTTATTATTGATTTAAATTCATAGCGATGAATAAGTAAGTACATTATTATGATTGAACATTATTATGATTTTGAATTATAAACAAAATATATAAATTACTTTGATTGTGAGATATTTATAATTATTTAAGCCTTTGAAGTCAAAATTAGTTTTTGTTATTTACAAATTTATTATGAATCCTTTTATTAAATGAGAAAACAATCGAATTAGCCGTATTTATTTAGTGTTGGCATATCAATAGATTATGAGAAAAAAATAATCGAATCGATGTGATAATGATAATGAAATGGTCCTCAATTCCCTACTAGCGATTGAAAATCCTGACCTCAGTATTAATTTTACTTAATTTTATGCTGATTACGAGAAATATAATTAATTATACCCTACACCACTATAATGGGGACGGTATTATGCGTTTGTGCCACCTAAAAATGTTGGTCCTACATCCACCTTAAAGTATACCAATCGGCTCAGAATGGCTTTCTGAGTCAATGTCCGTCTGTCCGTTCGTCCGTCCATCTGTGTATCCATGTAACCCTTGTGCGCACTCTACAGGCCGCAATTTTCAATATAATTTGATGAAATTTGGCACATACTCTTCTTTTGACCCAAAGGACGAAGCTTATTGAAAATAGTTAAAATCGGTTCATTATTTCGTATAGCTCCCATACAACCGTACCGCCCGAATAGGGTAGAGCTCATAAATAAGTTAAATGTTCTTGTATCACTTCAAAAATCGGCAAAACGTAGTTTCGTAATGATCGAGCCTTATTTGACCCTATCCCCCATACAAAGTCCCTTTCAGAAAATGTCTTGATGGTCAAAATTCACTTATAAACACTAATATCACGATGAAATTCTGTATAAATAACATAAATTCAGGTGTAAATCCCTCTACCAAAATTATATAGGGATAGGACTATATTAACCCCCTGTCCACATATAAACAATCTTTTAGAAAATCCCTTTTTTTCAACAAATTATTAAAATATTTCTGAATTAAGGTAAAAATGAAAATAAATACTATATTATTAAAAAATTTGTGTTGGGTATCATATGGCCATCATATGGCCAAACATGGGTATCATATGACCAAACATGGGTATCATATGACCAAACATGACCGACCATAATCCTTTTTTTTTAATTTTTTTTGGTCCACGAAATAATTTTTGTGCGTTTGGTATATTATTTTCGCTTTTTATCGAAATAGGTGTCATAATTTACTGAAACCTACAATATTAATGAATAATAAAAATAACAAAATACTAAAAAACCAAATTACTTTTCTAATAATTTCTAACTTTCTTGTAAGCTCCATAACCAATATTCCTATGGTACATATAGATTACAAAAGTATCTATTGAAATCCATATTTATACTCATACGCACGTATGGCCTTACAAACAACACAACAAGATAAGAAATATTTATAATTTAACTTGACTACTGTATGCAAAAACACACACAAACTTATATACAAATGTACGCTTTTGCCAGGTACAAAAATATATTCTTTTTGACTTTTTAGAAACGCAATAAACAAAACTTTAACAAAAACTAACGTTGCTATATATTTGGGGTTTGTTTTTGTGTACATATGTACATATTTCCAAAAGAGGTCGATTTATTCGTATAGAAACTAGATATGCTTTTGTTTATTATTTAAAGAGAGAAAAAGAACAATTTCATTCATACTAATTGCTTTTGTTTTTGATTTTGGTATACAGCAACAAATTGTTGTGTTTTTTTTTTAATATAAAATATTGTTTTTCAATACAAAATATTTGATTAGCAGCATTTTCTTTCAATGCCCCAAACAAGGATATATTGCATGGGTGCTTAATAAGGGAATTCATATAAAAACATTGGTCATATAAAGTGTTGCCAAGTTAGCAAATTTCAGATTTTTTATGAAAGTTTTAAGAGCTTATGTTAAATCGTTATAAAAACTCTTAGAGTTTTTATAACGATTATTTGATTAAAATTATTAGAAATTGCACTGTTTTTATTGTCGACACCTGTACGTATACGTGTTAATGATTTATCGATATTACAAATATTATGTATACGTCTAGTTTAAAGAAGTTTTCTGCGACTTTGATCTAGAAGATGAATCGTAATTTTAAAGAGAGCAATAATAATTTTGGTACATCCTGAAGCTCCTGGCAACATTGGTCATATATCATAATATCTCGTATCATAGTACCGATCTTTATTGTTTGAGAATTTATAACAGAAGATTTTTGGTACTTGCTAAATTTCATAAAGATCGGGCCTCATTTGATCCTAGCTCCCATACAAAGTCCCCTTCAGAAAATTACTTGAATCTCCAAAATTAACTCATAAACACAAATATCGCGATGAAATTTAGGGACCAAATTATGTCATACGAGATCGATCAAAATCTCCATTTAGCACCCATAGTTTTTCATCCATAAATTGCTTAAATGTATCGGATCAATGAATTATTATGAAAAATAAATCACATACCCTGGTGTAGGGTATCATATCATGGTCGGTCACGCCCGACTATACTTTCTTAATTGTTTTATATAAATTTGGAATTCCATCTTTTGGAATCGTATGTCCTTTAAACTTCAAGGTCCTTTTACAGGGGCATAAGAGATGATTATAAAAAACTGAGTACACAGGGTTAATACTGATGGTCCACAGTTTCTTGTACATATAGATTTTTTCGTGTGTGAAAATGACTGTTGCACGGTATAATACGTGGTCCTAAATGGGACTTTATGGTACTTTTTCTTCTTCTTTTAATAGAAACAGACATTATTAAGTAAATTTCGAAACAATAGTAGTAAGGTTTGTCATCTATTTAGTATGTCTACATACCTGATCAACTGAACCATAATGATGGCGGGAAAATACTCCACGTCGTGATATTAATTCTGTGGCAGATGAGCTGAAATTATAGAATTATATAAAAATAATTATTATATTAAAAATAATTATTATATTAAACATATTCATAGTTTTTCCAATTTTTTTTTTTTTTCATATGTTAACAAAGTGAAATAATCTCAAAGTACACATTGGCGTATGATTGTTAAATAATCACTCATACGTCATATACATACAGAAAAAACCCAGATAATGTAGCTGATTTTAAATTTTTAATTCATATGTAATAAAAGTAATCACTTTCACTTCAGATATTAAAATTCGCAAAAAAATAAACGATTTAAATTAATAGAACCACTATTAAACGTTATTCAACCGATTCATAAATTTCCGATTAGATTGAACTTTTCTTTTAAATTTACAATTTATTGTAGATTTATAGAGTTTTCATTATTAAACTATATGTATGTAAAAATTTTGCCCTTTTTGAGAACAAAAGAACACACTACCCTTGCCTAACATACATTTTGACAATCTATCAAACAAATATTTAAAATATTTGAAAGTTTTTCAAACAAATCTGCCACTCATGTAAAAGTTTTTTTTTTTCAAATCTATATGTGTGTGAAACTGGCAAAACTTTCTCTTGATTATTCATGTTGAAAAATTCTTATAGTATCTTTTATATTTGTATTCAAATTTAAATTAAATTGTGTGTTTTTTTTTACTTTAAATCGTCATTTAAATGGTACAGAAAGGTCAAGTGTTTTTTTATTGTTATTTTATGATTTATTACAGTTGTATTTACACAAAGAAAATTTGATATAATTTGAATATGTTTCATTTATTCTAATGTAGACTGTTGCAGTTTATTTTAATATTGTTTTCTGACAGTCACATATGGTGTTATTTTTTGTGTTAAAAGACATCTGTAGCTGAAAAATAAATCTAAATTCTTGAGGCATATTTATATTTAATTGTTAAGTTCATATTAGTTTTCGAAATTTAAACTTTTTTTTAATAAAAATTTATACTTATTTTAGTTTTCTATACAATAAAAAAAAAATTCAGTGGATTCTAATTTCTAACTTTGGTAATTGAGGTATTGAAAAATATGCAATTTGGATAAATTTCATTAATTTAATTTTCACATCACTGCTAAATAAAATAGTAATTGCCTTGTTTTTTATCACTCATTTCATTTTACGTCAAGCTGCAACAAAATTGTTTCCATTTTCTATACAGAAAGAAACTAAGCAATTTAAAAAATTAGTCACGCATTGCATATCAAACATGTTGCAAAAATAGAAACAAAAACGTTAATATTGCTCAAAAAAAAAAAAAAAAAGAAACTTACTTATTGAAACCAAAAAAGTTTGTACAGTTTGCTACAACTCTTGGGTGTATGAATTAAAATTGTGGGATTATTTTTAAATTTATAGTTTTTATTTTGAATATAAATTTATACAAAGTATTGTCCATTCACAGTTATTACCTTTCCATCTCTCTCGCAATATATGTATGTTCTATCGATTTTACAATGAAATGTGTTCCTCTGATATTAGAGATTTTGGAAAAGAATTTCCCATCATATTCGAAGTAAAAAGTTTTCTTACCCTGATACATCTGTTAATAACCCTGCCATTTTATGTTATACTCCCAATAATATAGTGTGAAGTTAGTCTTAAAAACACCTGAGCCTCAATAGTTAATATAGAAATTTAAAAATTTTATTTTCTGCTTTAAGTTTGTTATCAGCAATATGTTGTCAAAGTGTTACATAACATAAGAAAAAACTTTGGTTTTATGGCAAAATAAAATCAGTTTCGTTAAAAGAGTCTCTAGTGCACAAAGAAAGCAATTTCATTTATTTTCAGTTCATGTGTATTTAAAACAGGAAACTAATTTTAAATTAACCCAGTTTCATACTCTATTATAAAATAGTTTAAAATTCGAAATAATTACTCTTAACGTGAAAACTTTAAACAAATAATTATCAACATACATATATATTACGAAAACTAGACATTGAAAGTATTTTTTTTATTTTTAGCTGCAATTGAAAATTCGCAATATTTAAACAATATATTTCTAAAAAAAATAACATTTAATTCACGTAACATTATAAACAGAAATCATTTGTGTATGAATTTGATAACATTTATTCATAAAATGTTATAAAATTAAATGGAGTGTTTGGGCATAATAAAAACAAAATATGTATGTATATGTATGTGACTGGCAGCATTTATTTGTAGGCCGTGAATTCTTGAAATTCTATTTAATAATAGATTTATATTTATGCCATAAACATGTGATAATCTAAATTGCGCGATAACAAGTAAATATCAAACAGTGGGACTAAATGTGAAGTACAAATTTATGTCTATAAAAGAGGAATATAATATCAGTTTTAGTAGAAATATGCCGCCAAGGCACTTTAAGAGTAATACGTAAAATAACGGAATGTAAAAGGGCCACTACTGCATACTCTTTTAGTGAGGGAACGGATGTAATTGATGTAAAGATAAGGAGGGCTTGAGAAAGTTACCAAAACATATGTAAAGCTGCTCTTCACAAGGAGCACTGAATGAATCAGAACAATAATCACTAAAATCCTAAAGATGATTCCATCAAAAACAGGACAAGATACCTCCTCAGAACGAATAAGTTGAAACACTTTCCATTTATTGTCAGGTGTCGTTGTAATGGATGTAGTTAGTTAGTTAGTAGTTCGTTGTTAGTTAGTTAGTTAGTTAGTTAGTTAGTTAGTTGTTTAGTTTAGTTAGTTAGTTAGTTAGTTGTTGTTATTGTTAGTTAGTTAGTTTAGTTAGTTCGTTTTAGTTCGTTATTTGTTTAGTTAGTTAGTTCGTTAGTTAGTTAGTTAGTTGTTTAGTTTATTTAGTTTATTATTTTAGTTAGTTAGTTAGTTAGTTTAGTTAGTTAGTTTAGTTGTTTATTTAGTAGTTATTATTTAGTTAGTTAGTTCGTTCGTTTTCGTTCGTTCGTTCGTTCGTTCGTTCGTTCTTCGTTCGTTCGTTCGTTCGTTCGTTCGTTCGTTCGTTCGTTGTTCGTTCGTTCGTTTTTTCGTTCGTTCGTTCGTTCGTTCGTTCGTTTCGTTCGTTCGTTCGTTCGTTCGTTCGTCGTTCTTCGTTCGTTCGTTCGTTCGTTCGTTCGTTTCGTTCGTTCGTTCGTTCGTTCGTTCGTTCGTTCGTTCGTTCGTTCGTTCGTTCGTTCGTTTTTTCGTTCGTTCGTTCGTTCGTTGTTCGTTCGTTCGTTCGTTCGTTCGTTCGTTCGTTCGTTCGTTCGTTTCGTTCGTTCGTTCGTTCGTTCGTTCGTTCGTTCGTTCGTTTGTCGTTCGTTCGTTCGTTCGTTCGTTCGTTCGTTCGTTCGTTCGTTCGTTGTTCGTTCGTTCGTTCGTTTTCGTTCGTTCGTTCGTTCGTTCGTTTCGTTCGTTCGTTCGTTCGTTCGTTCGTTCGTTCTTTCGTTCGTTTTCGTTTCGTTCGTTGTTCGTTCGTTCGTTCGTTCGTTCGTTCGTTCGTTTCGTTCGTTCGTTCGTTCGTTCGTTCTTTTCGTTCGTTCGTTCGTTCGTTCGTTCGTTCGTTCGTTCGTTCGTTCGTTCTTCGTTCGTTCGTTCGTTCGTTCGTTCGTTCGTTCGTTCGTTCGTTCGTTCGTTGTTCGTTCGTTTTCGTTCGTTCGTTCGTTCGTTCGTTCGTTCGTTCGTTCGTTCGTTCGTTCGTTCGTTCGTTCGTTCGTTCTGTTCGTTCGTTCGTCGTTCGTTCGTTCGTTCGTTCGTTCGTTCGTTCGTTTCGTTCGTTCGTTCTTCGTTTCGTTCGTTTCGTTCGTTCGTTCGTTCGTTCGTTCGTTCGTTCGTTCGTTCGTTCGTTCGTTTCGTTCGTTCGTTCGTTTGTTCGTTGTTCGTTCGTTCGTTCGTTCGTTCGTTCGTTTCGTTCGTTCGTTCGTTCGTTTCGTTCGTTCGTTCGTTCGTTCGTTCGTTCGTTCGTTCGTTCGTTCGTTCGTTCGTTCGTTCGTTCGTTCGTTCGTTCGTTCGTTCGTTCGTTCGTTCGTTCGTTCGTTCGTTCGTTCGTTCGTTCGTTCTTCGTTCGTTCGTTCGTTCGTTCGTTCTTCGTTCGTTTCTTTCGTTCGTTCGTTCGTTCGTTCGTTCGTTCGTTCGTTCGTTCGTTCGTTCGTTCGTTCGTTCGTTCGTTCGTTCGTTCGTTTCGTTCGTTCGTTCGTTCGTTCGTTCGTCCACCACCTCCGGTCTACCAGACTGGAACACTAACCACTAACCTACCAGAGGCTTCCGATTACATCTAATTATTTGAATATGATATTCCAGAGATTACACTCCTCTCGAACACTGATAGGAAAATTCTAATCATTTTTTCGACCTTAGTACCACCGTTGTATACATATTTTTACACAATTTTATTTTATTTATACAATTACTAAAAAATTTTCTAGTTAATAGTTAAATAATTGATAAATTTTTTCTGTGGTGGTATGATGGTCGTTTTTTGTTTATTTATAATTTATTTATATGACAATTACCGACATTATATTATAAATATCCTTTTATGTTTATATAAATCATGTTCGCTCGTGTTTGCTTTTATCTACATTTAATTATTATATTTATTTAGTAATTATTTACATAAAATAATTATTACCGAATAGTTGTGGTTTTACTTAATTTAAAATTTAATTTTTTTTTCTGCTAAGCTGGCAGAAAATTATGTAAATAATTCTTTAAATTACATATGGACAATAGATAAAAGTAATTAAATTGATAGATTAATACACATATTACTTATTACTAAATTAGCAGCATAGTAATCTAAGTCATAAATATAATGACGGTTAAGTTAGAGTAAAACTTATCACCGTAACTAATTTACTATGAATTAAATATGACAAATATATGTTACCATTTTAATAGCAAATTTTATCTTCCAAAAATATATGTACATATTTTTTTTGTTTATTATATATTTACAAAATTGTTTAAAATTATATTTTTTATTATACGCAAGTCAACAATATTACCAATATATTCGTCTATTGATTAATGTATATTTAATATTTTCAATAAAAAATGATAAAATCATTGCAAAAAGAAGAACAAATATTTTATGTACATAATTTAGGAAAGTGAAAAAATAACACTGACCGCATTTTTCCAACTTTTCTAATGAAAAATGTCTACGTTTACAAAGACTTAAAACTTAAATGTATTGTTTTACTTTAAATCAATGTAGCGGTTTGGTAACGACTATAGTTTGTTACCCTACAGAAGGCGTTTGTGCTGATCTTTGAAACACACCACTGCAAGGCTGGGATTTAAACACAATTTATTGCATTATCGTTAGTAATGAAATATTTTGATTGCCATTTAATGCCTCTCGGCTTCTTGTGTAAACCAATTCCCTTGCTTTTGGAGGAATCTTGATTTTTGACTTAATTGGTTGGTCTTTGTCTACCTTGTCAAATCAGCTTCGATTACCTCTCTAAGGAACTTCTTCTGAAAATCTCTTTGATGATCATAAGACTCGTATTAATATTTAAAATTCGATATAAAAAGATCTAGAGTTTATGGAATGCTATAGATTTATGCAACAGAGATAGTCCAAGTTTAGGGCCAGCAATGTTAATTGGTCTCAACTAAGTAGTGGAAATATAATTCGTTTTGTTATACTTTTATTTTAATAAATGATGGTTTTTCTCACAGCAACCAATTTCACACTGACACTTTACAAAACCACAAAATTATACAGAAATAAAACGGTTGGGGAAAGAATAATAAAACCCAAGAAGTAAAATAAACAGCAAGTAAAAAAGGCAATGAATTTAAGATTCAAGCAGATAGTTGAACAAGTGGATTCATTTAAAAACATTAAAATAAAATTGTAATCTAAGATTTAAAGACATTACAAGAATAAAATGTATTTTAGATATTACATAAAATATTGCTGATACATCCGAACTTTTTCCAAGAATTGTTTTGTAACTGAAAAAAAATTGTCCTTTAATAAAAAAAACACTAAAAATGAAACACATTCTTTAAAATGCTTGCTCTCGATATAAAAGAAAATCCTGTGTAAATATTGAATTTTGTTAAGAAATAACAAAAAAAAAAAAAAAAATCCCAACTTACATAACGCTGGATGCACGACGTTGCAGCACCCTCAACGCACCAATATCTTTGTGTGGCGGTGCCCGATTAGTGGTGGGTGGGGCACATAAACTTTGACTACGGTCACGTACACTCTCATCACGATACGATCGAAAAATCGTTGCTAATTTTAAATTGAAACACAACATCTTGTGTCTGCCCCTTGTGGTGGTCCTTGTTGTTGTCGTCGTTGTAGTTGTAGACGCCGTTGTTGTAATTTTATTGTAAAAACTTTAGACTTTTAAAAATATGTGTCTTCTTTTCTACTTTCCCTTATTTTCTTGTTTTTTTCTGCTAGCAACTTTTAAGGTTGCTTTGGTTTTGGTAGAGAAAAACTTTAGTCAGTTTTTTTTTGCTATAAAAAGTTGGTTTTTTAGCTCAACAAAATATGTTTTTTTTGCTGTTTGTTGTTAAGTTTAAATAATACTTTTTTAGTTGTTTTGCAGTTAGTTTTTTAAGCGGTTGGACGTTGTTTTTTACACTTTTTGTTTAAAACTCCAAAGTTGGTTTTTCGTCGTTTTAATTTTTTATATTGGTTTAAAAGATTTCGTTATAAATTCGTTGTTTTTATTTTTTTTGGTTTAGATTTTAGTGACTTTTCCCCATTTACAACTTGTTTTTGTTTATTTCGTTGTTTTTTTTCTTTATTTTGAGATTTTAGTTTTTCCACTTGGTTTGTTTTGAAATTCAACTATTTGAGAAAAAAAAACTTGTATATATTTTTAAATTTTCAATGACCTACGCCAATTTTAAATTTTGCGTTTTGTTTTTTTACTTGATTTATAATGAACTTGTAATCGTTTTTTAAATTTCTCTTCTTTTGTTTCGTTAGAGCAATTGCACTAAACTGGTACGGCGCCTAAATGAACTTTTGCGTTCTAGTTGGCTTTAACCCAAAAAATAAAGAATTTTGGTTTTCATCAACGTTTCTCTTATGTACATATTTACTTTCACTAACTTTTTATTGGTTGCGTTTTTTCTGTCTTTTATTTAGTAACTTTCCCTTTTATTATATATATTTTTTAATAGTTCCTTTAAACCCCAGTGTGGTTTTCATTTAAAAAATGTGTTCAATATCGAAATTATTCGCACATATAAAAATATATTTATTTCTGATACAAAATGTTTTAAAGTGGTTTAATTTTTTTTAATATCAATAAATAATTTGAAAGAAAATAATTTACTTTGAAGTGTTGTTATCTGCCTGTCCGAAGGTCGTGGTTTTGATTTCCAAGTAATACAGGTTAAGCAGTTTACAAGTTCATAGTTCGATAGTGGATTAGATTTATTATTTTATTCAGATATTACTAACTAACTAACTAACTAACTAACTAACTAACTAACTAACTAACTAACTAACTACTAACTAACTAACTAACTAACTAACTAACTAACTAACTAACTAACTAACTAACTAACTAACTAACTACTAACTAACTAACTAACTAACTAACTAACTAACTAACTAACTAACTAACTAACTAACTAACTAACTAACTAACTAACTAACTAACTAACTAACTAACTAACTAACTAACTAACTAACTAACTAACTAACTAACTAACTAACTAACTAACTAACTAACTAACTAACTAACTAACTAACTAACTAACTAACTAACTAACTAACTAACTAACTAACTAACTAACTAACTAACTAACTAACTAACTAACTAACTAACTAACTAACTAACTAACTAACTAACTAACTAACTAACTAACTAACTAACTAACTAACTAACTAACTAACTAACTAACTAACTAACTAACTAACTAACTAACTAACTAACTAACTAACTAACTAACTAACTAACTAACTAACTAACTAACTAACTAACTAACTAACTAACTAACTAACTAACTAACTAACTAACTAACTAACTAACTAACTAACTAACTAACTAACTAACTAACTAACTAACTAACTAACTAACTAACTAACTAACTAACTAACTAACTAACTAACTAACTAACTAACTAACTAACTACTAACTAACTACTAACTAACTAACTAACTAACTAACTAACTAACTAACTACTAACTAACTAACTAACTAACTAACTAACTAACTAACTAACTAACTAACTAACTAACTAACTAACTAACTAACTAACTAACTAACTAACTAACTAACTAACTAACTAACTAACTAACTAACTAACTAACTAACTAACTAACTAACTAACTACTAACTAACTAACTAACTAACTAACTAACTAACTAACTAACTAACTAACTAACTAACTAACTAACTAACTAACTAACTAACTAACTAACTAACTAACTAACTAACTAACTAACTAACTAACTAACTAACTAACTAACTAACTACTAACTAACTAACTAACTAACTAACTAACTAACTAACTAACTAACTAACTAACTAACTAACTAACTAACTAACTAACTAACTAACTAACTAACTACTAACTAACTAACTAACTAACTAACTAACTAACTAACTAACTAACTAACTAACTAACTAACTAACTAACTAACTAACTACTAACTAACTAACTAACTAACTAACTAACTAACTAACTAACTAACTAACTAACTAACTAACTAACTAACTAACCAACTAACTAACTAACTAATTGACTAACTTACGAGGACTTATGACATTGGATTGGACAATCCAGATAATTTTTACTCATTAATATTTGGTAAGGATCGGTTCATAATTCAGGACACCAAGTGAAGGCCACTGCTTCTTGGACTTTTTTAATAAAAAAAAGTTAATACTACGACAAAATCTTATTAAATTTCTGAGAGATTTTTCTTTTATAAATTAAGAGCGTTATGATGATCTGATTATGGTTACGACCAAAACCATGTTCAGATCTTATTTAGGTTTCCTTTTTCATTTCACTGATAAAACATTGTTGTTGTTAACCAACGACAATTGTTAGCAGTTATACAAACAAAACTACATTTCCGGTTGTATAAATGTAAAGGAAATGGTTTTTAGCATGACTGTATACATGGATGTGTGTAGAGCAAATTGCACTTCACAATGACAGGAAAAAAAAGAAGAGAGGAAAGGAAGCAAATAAAAAAATGCATTAAATATTATTTTTATGTTGTTAGTGGTTGACAATGAGGTAGATGTTGCCGTTGTATTTTTTCTTTTTTTTTGGTAAAAACAACATGTTTTCTGATCGTTTTCTCTAAACTGCATGTCTCAGTTTGAGTTTGTGTTTATATTGGTTTATTGAAATGGAAATGTTTTTTTTTTATCGCTTACGACTATCGTAGAGAAGGTATTATGTGTTTATATAGATGTTTGCAACAACTACTAAAATTTAGGGCTTAAAATACTTTTCAAAATTTCTGATGATCGGTGATATTTTAGAATCTTCGTATTCTTCCGATGTTTGTTAAAAAATTTAAAAATCTCTTAAAATTTATATATTAACCTTGATATTGTGATGAAATTCTATATTTGTAAATAACATAGTTTTCACTCTTCTATATTCTTTAAGGATCAGTTTATTATAGTACCTAAACCCAATGTTAGATTTCCTTATTTTTCTTTCTCATTGCGTAATATAGTCGATTATGACCGAATTTACTTTCTTACATTGTTATTTAGTTTGTTTTAAGATTTTTTTATTGCATTTATACTCAGATTGTCATTTATGTATTTTTTAGATTTTTACATTTCTCTCTGTTTAGTTTCATGTTATTGACCTATTTATTCCACATATTTGATATTTTTTCTAAATTTTTTTCTATTTGCCAATGAAACTTAAGAAGAAAAAACAGCAGCAGATTTTTCATTTAGCTTAGAAAAGAATTGAGAAAAAAAACAATATTTTGAAAATGTGTTTTAAACGAAAACATGATGATGATTTATTTCTTGAGCTCATTCGCAGTCATCTATCTTCGAGTGTAATTAACAAAATAAAAATGAGATTATTGAAGAAGGAGTAAGTAAAACGTTTAAGATGAATAAATGAAATTGAATTACATTACAAGATATAAATGACAGAATAGCTGATACAGCTACAGTACAGATTGATGTCAGTTTCGTCGGCGTAGAAAAGAACAATTAAAATTACATTTGATTTGAAAAGGTTTCGAAAAATGGTCCTTTTTCTTTCATAATACAAAATCTAAATGATTCTCACTAAATTGACCTTTTCATATAAAGGAAAGTTGTGTATTTTTACAATAAAATAATGAATTATTTTTTTGAGAAAATTTTGTTATTTTATTTTTCTTCGTGTTTTTTCGCAAATAATTTAATGTTAAAAAAGGCAAATAATAATAAAGGAAAATTGCTGACAAAATGTTATTGTATAAGTAAATGTTTATTAATTAAAATTGATGTTTTAGATTTAATTGTTTTCTTTTTCTTCTTAAAATAAAATGTGAAAATTTTAAGGGGAGTGCGTTAAGTAGTTTAGATCGAAACCCTCTGCATCTTTAATGAATCGTAATGTTTAAATATTAAATAAAATGTTTTTTTGCCAGTTAGTTGAGCAATAAGTCATAATTTGCAGTCTATAGTCGGGAGAATATAGAACAGTCTATAGTCGGTAGACTATGGAACAGTTAGTAGTCCATAAACTATAGATCAGTCTATAGTCGGATGTGTATAAAATAGTTTAAAGTTCATAAACTATAGATCAGTCTGGAATAGTTTATAGTTATAATGTAGATCAGTCTGGAATAGTTTGTAGTTATGGGAATGCAATCTATAGTTGAGAGACTATAAAATGCCTTATAGTGAGGTTACTATATAGGGACTTATCTAGAACAGTTCTTAGATAAGAGACTATAAAGCTGTTTAAAGTCAAGATAGTGTAGATTAGTCTATAGTCGAGAGACTTGACAAGAGTCTAGAACTTGAGGGACTATAGAACAGTTTATAGGTGAAATAATATAGATAGTTAAAACAGTCTATAGTCGAGGGACTAAAGAACTGTATATTTTTGAAAGACTATAGTGCAGTCTATAGAAAAATCTCAGACAAAATAAACTATAGTCGCGATACTATTAAACAGTCTATAGTAGGGAAACTACATAATAGGTTATAGTCGCGATACTATAGAACAGTTAGTAGTCGATAAACTATAGATCAGTCTATAGTCGGGAGTGTATAAAATAGCTTAAAGAAGAGAAACTATAAATCAGTGTGGAATAGTTTCTAGTTATGAAAGTGCAGTACATTCTATAGTTGAAATACTATAAAATGAGAGAAAGTTGAGAGACTATAGTCGAGAGTTTATACATGAGTCTAGAATCATTTATAGTTGAGAAACTATAAAACAGTATATAGTTGTGAGACTATAGAGAAGTTTATAGTTTAGATGCTATATAATATTCAATACCCTATAGAATAGTCTATAGTCGAGGGACCATAGAACTGTA